AACAAAAACATTAAACATACAGTATATACAGTAGCCCCCAGAAGTATTTGGACATTGAATTACATTTTTTAATATTAATATTGTATGGAATAAAAACTAAATACTAAGATAAAAATCTTGATAAATTAAACAAATAAATAAATGCTTTGGTAATATAAAGCTTAAGTAGCAAAAATACACACATAATTAAAATATATTAATAATAAAATTAAATAAAAAGCTAAACAAACAAACACATACATATATAAAAATATAAACGGGATGGGATAATACATCCATAAATAAATAAATACATAAATGCTTCAGTAATGTAAGCTTTTAAAATTTTAAATTTAAAATACATAAAATAATTAGGGCTGTCAAATGATTAATCGTGATTAATCACATCCAAAATAAAAGTTTTTTTTACATAATATATGTGGGTGCACTGTGTATAATTATTTTATATATATAAATACACACACATGCTTGTATATATTTAAGAAATATTTTCATGTATATACTGTATATAGATTTATATATAATTTATATTATATATAAATATTTTATATGTAAATAATATTTTTTTCTTAAATATACATGCATGTGTGTGTATTTATATATATATACAAAATAATTATACACAGTGCACCCAAATATATATATGTAAAAAAAACTTTTATTTTGGATGTGATTAATCGTGATTAATCATTTGACAGCCCTAAAAAAAAATATGTTAATAATGTATGAAATAAAATACTAAATAAAAAGTGAAACAAACAAGTAACTAACTTACTAATAAATAAATAATAAACAAAATTAAAAATTAAGTTTAACAAACAACTTAAACAAATAAATAAATGTAGCAAAAAGTAAAAAATACATGCACAATTAAAAATATATTAATAATGAAATTTAAACAAAACACAAAAAAGAGGAAAAATGAAACAAAAACAGATCTGCTTCAGATAGTGATGGAGAGCGTTTCTCTTACCCATCGTGGCATCTTGGCTCCGTCAGGATCGTGATAGTGATACTGCAACACCAGACCCACAGACCCACAATCACCATGGTGGTCACAAAATACTGAGCTGAAACACACACACACACACACACTGAATCCACAACAAGCCCTGCATGTAGATGAAGCATTCATGAGATCCTCAGCGATGTGTGTCTGAGCTGTGAGAAAACACACTGTGCCATTACAGAACGTCAAGCTTCAGTAAACCCAATCTAATCTGTTCCTGAACCCTCGAGAATCTCTCAGTCCTGCACATTTCAATAAAGGAGTCACGGTAAAATTACTCATTATTTGAACTGATTTCTCATAGGTAGAATTATTCAGTTAATAATAATTACTTAAATTTGCATCTGTTCCTCACACAATGCCATCATGTGATGCTGTTTTCGGTCCTACAAGTGTCAAATATCTTGTTCTGTTTGTATTTACCATTTACTTTTTTTAGTTTGCAAGTTTTGCGGCCCTGTTATCACTCACTTACATTTATGCATTTAGCAGATGCTTATATCCAAAGCGACTTACAATAGAGGAAAATACATATATCAAAAATCTAAATTCAGGAATATATAGAATACAGATTTACTATACATACAGTAAATAAGGATAACCAACATTTGATGCATTTAAAAATAGGTTATTTTTATGTGATGTTAATTTCATATTTATGGCTGTTATTGCTTTTGAAATAAAGTCACATTACAGCAGTTTATACTCCATCAATGTAAAGTGACAACAGCATGAACATCACTAAAAGTCAAACATGTGAAATGGTTACAAAAACATGTGAAATGGTCTTTTCTGTGAGGTTATTGTGTGTTTTCCCTCTGTAAAGGTGTGTTAGTGAACAGACAGATAACATGTCAGGGTGAATGATTGCACTGGTTTCTAACAGGCCCGTCTGTCTCTATCTATCTCTCTCTCTATCTATCTATCTGTCTGTCTGTCTATCTGTCTATCCATCTCTCTATCTATCTGTCTGTCTGTCTGTCCATCTCTCTATCTGTCTGTCTATCCATCTATCTATCTGTCTGTCTGTCTGTCCATCTCTCTATCTATCTGTCTATCTGTCTGTCCATCTCTCTATCTGTCTGTCTATCCATCTCTCTATCTGTCTGTCTGTCTGTCTGTCCATCTCTCTATCTGTCTGTCTATCCATCTCTCTATCTATCTGTCTGTCTGTCTGTCCATCTCTCTATCTGTCTGTCTATCCATCTATCTATCTGTCTGTCTGTCTGTCCATCTCTCTATCTATCTGTCTATCTGTCTGTCCATCTCTCTATCTGTCTGTCTATCCATCTCTCTATCTATCTGTCTGTCTGTCTGTCCATCTCTCTATCTGTCTGTCTATCCATCTCTCTATCTATCTGTCTGTCTGTCTGTCCATCTCTCTATCTGTCTGTCTATCCATCTCTCTATCTATCTGTCTGTCTGTCTGTCCATCTCTCTATCTGTCTGTCTATCTATCTATCTATCTATCTATCTATCTATCTATCTATCTGTCTGTCCATATCTATCCATCTCTCTATCTGTCTGTCTATCCATCTCTCTATCTGTCTGTCTATCCATCTCTCTATCTGTCTGTCTATCCATCTCTCTATCTGTCTGTCTATCCATCTCTCTATCTATCTGTCTGTCTGTCTATCCATCTCTCTATCTATCTATCTGTCTGTCTATCCATCTCTCTCTCTATCTATCTGTCTGTCTGTCCATCTCTATCCATCTCTCTCTGTCTGTCTGTCTGTCTATCCATCTCTCTATCTATCTGTCTGTCTGTCTGTCCATCTCTCTATCTGTCTGTCTATCCATCTATCTATCTGTCTGTCTGTCTGTCCATCTCTCTATCTATCTGTCTATCTGTCTGTCCATCTCTCTATCTGTCTGTCTATCCATCTCTCTATCTATCTGTCTGTCTGTCTGTCCATCTCTCTATCTGTCTGTCTATCCATCTCTCTATCTATCTATCTGTCTGTCCATCTCTCTATCTGTCTATCTATCTATCTATCTATCTATCTATCTATCTGTCTGTCCATATCTATCCATCTCTCTATCTGTCTGTCTATCCATCTCTCTATCTGTCTGTCTATCCATCTCTCTATCTGTCTGTCTATCCATCTCTCTATCTATCTATCTGCCTGTCTATCCATCTCTCTATCTGTCTGTCTATCCATCTCTCTATCTATCTATCTGTCTGTCTATCCATCTCTCTCTCTATCTATCTGTCTGTCTGTCCATCTCTCTCTGTCTGTCTGTCTATCTATCTATCTATCTATCTATCTATCTATCTATCTATCTGTCTATCTATCTATCTGTCTGTCTGTCTGTCTGTCCATCTCTATCCATCTCTCTATCTGTCTGTCTGTCCATCTCTATCCATCTCTCTCTGTCTGTCTATCTATCTATCTATCTATCTATCTATCTATCTATCTATCTATCTATCTATCTATCTATCTATCTATCTATCTGTCTGTCTGTCTGTCCATCTCTATCCATCTCTCTATCTGTCTGTCTGTCCATCTCAGGGTTTTTCCTGGCTCAAAATGAGGCGGAGGTGGTAAAATCGTAACACTAGGGGGGTCTGGGGGTTTTGATACTCGGGAGAAAATTTTGTACATTTTAAAGATAAATTCATTAATCTGGTGCACTTTGAGTCACTCGAATCTGTTGTTAAAAATAAATAATAATCCACCCGCCAACCACCCATATTCTTTGATTTACATATTTGCATCTGATAATCACATTACAATTATTCAATTAAGCATGATAATATGGTAACATATCACACTGAAGTAGGCTGATTTAAAATCAACATTTATTTAAATTAAAAGTTAAAAGAATTAAATTAAAAGAATTGTCTGTCTCTATCTATCTATCAGTCTATCTGTCTGTCTCTATCTATCAGTCTGTCTGTCTGTCTCTATCTGTCTGTCTCTATCTATCAGTCTGTCTGTCTGTCTCTATCTGTCTGTCTCAATCTATCTGTCTGTCAAATTCAAATTCAAATTAGCTTTATTGGCATGAATGTGTAAAATAGCACAATATTGCCAAAGCAATAGACATATACAAACATATAGATAAATAAAAGTGAACAATAAAAAATAAAATAAAAAATAAAACAATTACTAAAATATCAAACAATCAAAATAACAATTATTTGTAATTTATTTGTACAATTATTTATCCATCTGAGGTTCCACTGGTTGTCCTCATTTCATGGCATGAGGAGACATATTTTGCAGCAATTATTTCACATTTGGGCATTTCTCCTAGTAAATATGGGATTTTCTGTGTGTCTGATATGGATTTGAATTCAGGGTATATTTGGGAAATGTTTGGGAAGTGTTTTTGTCTTAGTGTATTATAAAGTCTGTATATAATGTGACATCGTTTTTCATATGAGGTAAATAACCGCAAGACAGAAATCAAACTTCACTTTAAATAAGATTATTTTCATCCTACTAAGAGAAACGATGTGAAGTTGATCGTTTAGTCAGTGGCTTGATTTACTGATGCATAAATAGCATTAAAAATTTGGAGAGAAAGATAATCTGTCTGAACTTGAGTAACTGTAACATCAGAAATCACAGATCAGGCACTAGAATAAACATGATTATTACTTACATGTTTGTGGCAAAGCCTGCGCCGAAATTTACCAAATAATCCATAGTGAAATGCGCCGAATACAAGCAAAAAAAATAATGAACTGCTGAGACATTCACACTGTTGAAAAAAGGGAAACCCCACTATCCCAGCATTAGGAGGATCGTTTGTCGATCTTTCCTCCACGCTCCAGTGGGCGGGGCCAAAGACGCAGTGATGTGACGTAGCGCTGACCTTCTGCCAAGGCGGCCTTTCGCTGCCCTGTGACGTCACAAGCCTCCACTGTTTAGAACTCCGCTGTTGTTTTCTAGTCTTGGTTACAAACGTGTTTGGAATATCAAGGAAGGTTTGAATTTTGATACTTTGAAAGGGTATTTATATTTTTATAACGGCCTCTGAAATGTCAAAAGATCAAGGAAAGAAGAGCCAGATCTACCGGCCTCTGAAACCTGCAGCTAACTGGCTCCTTCAGCAAAAATGGGACCAGTCCAGTTATGAGATCCACCGAGACAAGGTCTGACTCTGACGGGTTTTGGTTGTCTGCTTTTTTTTAGTAACGTTATGTTTAATATTGCTTGAAATTTAAGTAACTAGTGCAAAGTGCCCGTACAAAATCTGTTTTTGTGTGTGTTTTTAGTAATTGTTGGTTTAATGTGTTTGAGTGCTCATTGTTACAATTAACTACACAGCAAAAGTTCAGTGAAGTTTTTATTTGTGCATGGTAGAAAGCAAATACTGATACTGACATAATAATGACATACAATAAATATGGAAAATTGAACTACAGGATTCAGGGAGCAGCGACACAGTGAACTCTGAGAAAACACTACGCTTGAGCAAACAGTTTGTGATTAGGCTTCTACGAATGGTGGCCGTGAATAAAATATAATATTCAGAAGTAAACATGTAGCTGACTTCATGTTTAGCTGACAGTGTTTATGTCAGAATGATTATTTTTGAACCACAACCTTCTAAGTGCTTCTTTTACCGATATCTTTTGCATTTCTAATCCAAACAACGTTAAACTCGGCACTGCACCCGTAGCAAGACACCCGTCAAGTCTGAAATCCATCGGACTAACGGTTCGAGAGATATGCGAGTAACAGACACACACACACACACACACACACACACACACACACACACAGACAGACGTTCCTGTAATTTATAGATAGATTTGGGCCACTCAGTTTGAGTTATTTTAGTACATCAAGTCACTAACTTAAGTCATCTTCATTAATATAGCGCTTGTAACCATGTAGATTGTTCCAAAGCGGCTTTACAGTGATAATAGGAATAAAACCACTAACGTTAAGTGAAAATTAGAAATGTTGGCAACCATAGCTCAAATGGAATAAGTTTTTTAATTTTATTTCAGTAAAGAGAGAGAGTGTGTGTGTTTGTGTGTGTGTGAGAGAGAGAGAGAGTGTGATTGTGTGTATATATATGTATATGTTGATGTTCTGTCTCTGTCTCTGTCTCAGGTGAGAGAGGCCAAACCTGTAGTCGACACCAAGGGCATCGAAACACCGGCGCATATCAGACACAATCTGAAGAAAGTCCAGGTATCTGATTAATTAATATGTAAACAAGAATGTATTTTCCTGTCATCATTTACTTGCCCTCATGTTGTTCCAAACCTGTATGAGTTTCTTTCTTCTGCTGAACACAAAAGAAGATATTTTGATAACCAAACAGTTGAACGTACTCCAATAATTATGAGCCTATAAGCAGACAAAAATGATTTTGTGAGCTCTATAACAGCACTATTGCCGATTACAGTGATGTGTTGTTATGAAGTAACGTGGAGTAGATGAAATGCATGATAACAGTGTTTGTCTTCAGTTGCAGAAAGAAAGGATGTCCATCATAGAGAGAGACAATCATCGTCTGGCCAGCAATCTTTCTGCTATCACTCGCTCTAAAGGACTGGTGGACAACAGGAACCATTGCCCACAGCTCAGGTGTGTGTGTGTGTGTGTGTGTGTGTGTGTGTGTGTGCTCATACGTCAATCTGTAGCTGGTTAACATAGTAACTCAGTGAGGTGTTTATTTGATCTGGGTTTCAGTTGTCGGATCTCCCGCTGCGTCTCATGTATATAACATCTAAACAAGATGTAGAAATTATTTAGAAATAAAATTAAATTAAACATTAAAAAAATATTCTATTTCATTTGACAATTAAACATTTTATTTATGTTATGTTATGATAATGTTATATATCTGGTTTTACAGTGTGAACACACACAAAAAGAAGGAGGAGCTTCTAGAGCTGACAGCAGAAAACCATCGGATCAACCAGCGAATCCTGACGCAGAAGTCGGATTACAGGAGGGAACTCTGGGAGGCCGACTTTGAAAAGGTCCAGCAATATAGAGACAAACTCGCACACTATCCACGAGGAGAGACCAACAAACAGGTTTGATCCTAATTCACACTTTAAAAAACGGAGCTAATTTCTTCTTAATTTTCTCGCCTTCATCATGTTTCCAACCCTTCTGTGAAACACAATAGCACACATTTCAGATGCTCACGCTGCTCTTGTTAATGCCTGTGAAAAAAAGCATGTCATGTGGGTTCGAAATTATTATTTCAAAGCACTAAATGGTTTAGCTCCTCAGTACTTGAGCGAGCTTTATTTTTAAAGAGGCGTTTACAACAAAAAAAGCATTTAGGACTTAAGTTACTGAGATAAAAATCAACCCGATTTCAAGGGAGGATCTGATTTGTCACAACAGCTTCTCGAACAAGAAAAAATGTAGGGCGGGGCTTAATTTAGTGCATAGGGAATTGATTGTCTGGTTGTGGTTTGCTATTGGCTGTCCTCATGTGAGTGACAGGTTGTAGCCCCGCCCTCGTCATCAGAGAAGAGTAGAGATGCTGCAAGAGGAACTTATTCTGATTCAAGATTACAAGGCACACAAAAAACTGCACTTCACTGCAATACCATGGCGACTCAAAGGCAAAAATACGCATCAAAATGTTACTTGTTTTACGTAAAATCATTAAATGGCTTCCTTCCGCTAAAATAAATAGTACCTGTGCCCGGTTGCATAAAGCACCTTAGGTTTTTCCCTTAAGTATTATACTTAAGGGGCGATTTCCCCTTACCTAAGAGAATAATTTAAGGGTGTTGTAGTGTTGTCAAAAATATTGATATTTCGATAAATATCGATACTGAAATATCTGAACGGTACCAATACTAATTTCCCGAAGTATCGATACTAGCTGAGCGGTCACTTTCACTTCTCTCCAAAGGCGCGTTGACAAACACCACACGTGACGCACTCGTCTCATTCGCTCTGGTTAAATAGCAAAAGTGAAGTGAATGGTTTTGAATCGACCGGCTTTGGTTGATTGATAAAGAACACCGCGATCAGGCATGTCGGAGAATAGCGCGCACACGCATTAAAAAACACACCGCGAGCAGGCATGTCGGAGAATACGCGGACACGCGCTTCACACTGTGAGCGTGCTGCGGGCACCCAAAAGATTGTTTGACTATCAATAATCCCTAACATCACTAATTTTTTTAAATTATTTTATAGTTGAACAGACTTAAGGAACAGGCTCCAGGGGTACCATTTAGCAGCATATATGCTCAGCATCAGGGGTGTTTGTTATTTGGACAGACCTGCCCCCACTGCTAAAAAAATCCTAAAAGAAATACTGTAACTCTTCTCATTTTAACTTTTCTGAAACATTAACCAAGATGGCCTAGTATTGTTGTTGATATGAGTCTGTGTTGTCTAGTATTTTCACCGTTTTCTTAAAGTTAAGATAAGCTGACTGAGGAATCTTAGACAAGTAAATATTGTTGTGGTCAAATGTAAATTAGCTTGTGCCTATTTAACTTTATTCAAAAATTATTATTTAATTCTGCAATTTTCCTTCATTAGCGATTATCATCAATTTGATTACACAGATACTAATTAAACTAAACAGCTAGACAATGGCATCTCTGAATTCAATAATGAAATGCCTTTAACTGAAAATTGAATGTTTAATCTTATTATTATACATTACTGACACTCTATCCTCCAATTTGATACTGTTAAGTGCTTTTTTGTTACAGTATATTTTAATCTTTGATAACAGTAGGTAATAAAAATACAACGGATCATGTAAGCTCTGGTCCAATTAAAAAATATTAACAAATAGAACTCGGGACATTTTTGTTCATGTAAAATATACCTCATTGTCATGTTCTAGACTTGTTATATTTAGCTTTAAATACAAAAAATACCCCCTTAATATTGTGGCAATTTTTTTCTCTGTGGTATCGAATATCGATATTTTTCAAGGTATCGTATCGAAGTTAGAAATTCTAGTATCGTGACAACACTAGGGTGTTGCATATAATCTCTTAAACGGTTCTCTTAGGTAAGGGAAACATTTAAGTGTTTCACGACAGCGATCCTGGATTCACGTTATAAAAGTCTGTTGTTGCCATAGATGCGCAAAACACTAACATGTCGGCATATCACGTGTCAGTCCAGTGACGCTATCACGCAACACCGCGTTAGCTCCGAAAGTGTACTGTTCACCGTCTCCTGCTTTGGCATTTGTTTAGGTTTTGTGAATGCACTTCTGGCTCTGTGTCTCGAAATACAGCTGAGTATTTCCATAGCATACCTGTTTTCTTCTGTCATGATTCCTTTTAAAACACAGAATCAGCTCGTTCTCCTGTGAATTTTTTTCTGCACGGGTCGGCCACACACTCTCCGTGCGCGCACTGACTTAACGTTGTGATAGTCTACATGCGAGTCACGTGTAATGACAGACAGACAGCCGTCTAGTTGGTTAGCGATGCCAAATATTGCGCGTCGATCAAATCGGTATTCTTGCAACAATTTTTCATCGCTAAGTTGGTCCAAAGGGTTCTGCCTATTCCCTATGATCTTCAGCTGGTTCCATAAATTCAGCCATGTCGTCTTATTTTTGTCCGCGTCACTCTTAAGGTTACGATTCCCAAACCTTAAGTTATACTTAGGGAAATGACCGTTAAAGGTGCATTGCGCAAGTTTCTGAGGTTTTGCAGAACTATGCCCTCTCTGGCGACAAGCGAAACTGCAACCAGAATGAACTACAAGCCGATCTCTTTGAATCCATCTTCTACTTTTGTCGAAAGTTGACTGAAGTTTTGTCGCTCGAGTTGTCTTCGCTGATACGGAGAATGGCGGCGAATACACAAACCTGCCAGACATAACGCGCATGACGTCACGCCCAGTCTCACGTTCCGGCCCAAATCCCTCTTGTTAATTTTACTGTACAGGATTAAAGAGGCAATCGCAGTGATCAGAGAAGGGCTCATTCAGCCCATCAGGCAATTGTTTAAGCATGTATGGGTTAGAAAAACGGGTATTTTTAACATGAACTGTTGCGCAATGCACCTTTAAGGGGTTTTATGCAACACTTAACGCTTTTTCAGGGATTACTTAAGTGAAAAAACAGCATTTATGGGAAATTCTAAGTGTTTGTGACGTTTCACTTAAAAAAAAAATTCTTAAGTAACACTTACGGGGATTTTTCTGCAACACCCTTAGGTATAAGGGCGAACTTAAGGGAAAATTACACTTAAGGTGCTTTATGCAACCGGGCACTAGACCATAAACAGTAGGGGTGTGTAACGATATTCGAACCGAACCAAAAAAACGCGATACACCACCCACGATACTGGCGTCCCGAACACGCCCCGCCCCCTGCTGCCCCGCCCAGCCCCGGCTCATTGCACCTCATGTCTTATGTGTACACAACGAATACAGCGTTGTTGCCTAACCACCATTAACCACATATAATCGCAATAATCTCAGTGTTTTGTTACTTTCGATAATAAGCAAGGTGTAATCTTTCAAATTCTGTCTATTTGATCACAAAATTCAAACAATAAATGCCGCTTTGGCGCTCTGTGATGTGGCGTGTCAGATCACTGTACTAGGCTCCTCATTTAAAGCGGCAGCGCGAGTAAACGTGATCATCTCTTCCTCAGTTACAGAATAAACATGAATGAACACCCGAAGGTATGTTGAAAGATACAGTATACTGTATACCAGTATACAGTATACATCATAACTCACTCAATCAGTGTTTCAACAGCGGAAATACGTCAATAAAACGCTTAGTTTTTCACATGTAAATATTTACCTCAGGCAAGTCCTTCAGTGTCCACAGCTTGTTGGTTCGACAACTCTTTCACTAAATAAATGCACTGTATTAAAGGTGCTCTAAGCGATGTCGAGTGTCTATCACTTCTTGTTGACGTTTAAAGTATTGTCAAACAAAACGGAGGCTAGCTAGACCCTCCCTCCTCCTCATCCGCACACTAACCCCCCAAACCACACCCCCAAACTCTTCTTGTCGGTTATTGGCTGGATCAGTTTGTTATGTTTCGTGGCGCGGGTCGCTACAGTTTGTTTTTGTTGCCGTGTGTGACGCCTGGGATGTCTGCAGAGACCGCGTCTTTTTACAGTGTGTTCAGGGGGACAGGCAGCTAGCGGATAGTGAGGAGATGTTTGCTGTATGTGACAAAAAATGTTTTGGCCTAAAAAATGCGTGACATCGCTTAGAGCACCTTTAACCTATATATTATATTTTACTTAACCTGTTAATGATATCTTGATTATTTAATGTATGTTTAAAATATCTGTCATGAAAATAACAGCAACTGTGTAAATTATTATATTTCAATAACAAATTAGAGTAAAAACATGTTAATGCAAAAACTGCCTTATGTGCAGTTTACATGTTTTCATACAATTTGTTATTTGAGTGTTGATTATTATTGTTATTATTAGATCTAAAAATAAATGTCAACTGAATTTAGGCTAAAAGTCTAAGCTCTGTTGTTAAGCTTTAAAGTCGTCATGAAATCAGATTTTACCATTCGTATTTTTATATGTAATATTGTAGTGTTTATTATAAATGATTTATCTGTGCACTTCATTATTTTTTTTTAATTCATGTCCCCTTATAATCTTTAATCAAATACATTACCCTTCCCTCCCCCCTCGAAACGACTTCTCTTCTCTTCCGGTCAAAATCTATTACTAGAGGGCGTGGCTATCCCGTGGTTCGCGGGAGGCTCATATAAATATGGGGTGATTCCTTCCGGAAAATTTGGCTGCTCGTCCTCGTTCTCGTTCTCATCGTCGGGTTCCTCAATTAAAAATGCTTCATGGGAGGGTAACGGTGGAGAGAAATCCTCCACAACTGACTGTAAACTGGCTTTCAAATCTGTCGGTGAATCTTATCTATTTGTTCATTTATATATATATATATATTTATTTATTTATTCATTTTCAATTTCTGCAGGTTTCGTCCTCCACAACACACAAGTCCTACCGGCCTCTGAAACCTGCAGCTAACTGGTTCCTGCAGCAGAAATGGGACCAGTCTAACTACGAGATCCACCGAGACAAGGTCTGACTCTGATGGGTTATGGTTGTCTGCTTTTTTAATATGTTTATTGCGTGAAATTTAACTAACTAGTGCAAAGTGCCCGTAGCAAGACACCCGTCAAGTCTGAAATCCATCAGACTAACGGTCCGAGAGATATGCGAATAGGGATGGGAATTGATAAGAATTTAACGATTCCGATTCCATTATCGATATTGCTTATCGATTCGATTCCTTATCGATTCTCATTGGGTGAGGGAATAAGTACAAATTTATTTGTTTGTATTAACTTATTGAGCTTATAACTTATTTGTTTGTTATTAACTCGCTGACACAGCACAGCGTATTAGGGGTGTGAACCTAC